TAATAATAATGATGATGATTATGATGATGATGGCTGGAGAGATGGCTCAGAGGTTAAGAGCACTGACTGCTCTTCCAGAGGTCCTGAGTTCAATTCCCAGCAACCACATGGTGGCTCACAACCATTTGTAATGGGGATCTGATGCCCTCTTCTAGTGTGTCTGAAGACAGTGACTCGTATACATGAAATAAATGAATAAATAAATGTAAAAAGAAGGAGGAAGAGGAGGAGGAAGAAGAGGAGGAAGAGGAGGAGGAGGAGGAAAAGGAGGAGGAGGAGACGGAGACCACGATGATGACGACAAAGTCTTGCCAAGGTCCAGTGCCCTAAAATAAAGACTATTAAAAAAATACAAATTATAGCCAGGCAGTGGTGGTGCATGCCTTTAATTCCAGCACTTGGGAGGTAGAGGCAGGTGGAGCCCTGGGTTCAACCCCCAGCACTGCATTAATCTAGTGTGGTGATGCACATCTGTATTTCTGGTACTCAGGAGGTAAAGGTGAGATTCTCAAAAGTTCAAGACCACTCCTCAGCTACACAGGAAGTTCAAGTCCAACCTGGGCTACATGAAAGCCCATGTCTCACTGTGGAGAGCAAATGAGACAGTAACAGAAGGTGATATGCCATGTGTCTTAGTTAGGATTTAATTACTGTGAAGAGACACCATGACCAAGGCAACTTTTGTAAAGGACAACATTTAATTGGGGCTGGTTTATAGGTTCAGATGTTCAGTCCATTATCATCAAGGTAGGAGCACTGCAGCATATAGGCAGGCATGGTGCTGGAGGAGCTGAGAACTCTACATCTTGTTCTGGTGGTATCCTTACTTCGGTCTGTCATCCACTGCCTATCTGGGATAAGTACATATTTGTTCACATCTCCCCAGAATCTCACACTCCATTCCTGGATTAAGGTTCACAGGCAAATTCATCATGCCTCAGATGCCTAGGAGGTATACACTGCACCAGGACTCACAGGTCCAAGTGTGCACTTGGGTACTGTGTTCCCCGCCACATGGCTGCGTTCAAGTGAAGGCAGAAGATCTGTGACATCTCAGCTTCACTTGATATGATTTGATGTGAATAGCAGAGCACTAGCTGAGTGGCTGTATTCATCCACTTCCCATTACTGTGATGAAACATGTGGGGCGAGATAACTTATTTACTTCACACTTTTGAAAACTGAAAGGTCAAACTCAGGCAGCTCCAGCAATGCAGTCTCTTGTGAGGACCTGTGATGATGACATCATGGTGGAAGTGTGTGCGAGAGGGAGATGTCATGTGGTAAGATAAGTCGCCTAATACAGACTGCATGAGATCCTGGGTTGAGTCCCCATCACTAACCAAAAGGGAAAAAAAGGTTGTTTGTGTGGTGACTCATACCTGTAATCCCAGCATTCATAAGACTTAGGCAAGATTGCCACAAGTTTGAGCCCACCCTAGGCTACATCCTGAATCCCCAAGCTACCATGTACTACGGAGTAAGACCATCTCAAGAAATAGAGAAGAAGAAGGAGAAGGAAAAGGAGGAGAAGGAGGAGGGAGCAGGAGCAGGAGCAGGAGCAGGAGCAGGAGCAGGAGCAGGAGC